TCGGAAAGTGGAGGAGTTCACTCGACCTGCCAGCACCGGAGAAAGAGAGGAAAGAAGGAAAACGAAACAAAGACCACACCTGGCACTGGGGGCCGCGGCTAGGGGCTGTGTTGTAAGAGCATCCGGGTCCCGGATGTCAAGTAAAATCTCAGCGCATCTCAGCGCCCTTGTTGAGTCATGCAGAATGCAGCAAATTGCCGAGATTTCCTGAGCTGATGTGTCTTTATTTCTCGCAGGACAGGGTCACATCCCAGTTGGGCCCTGAGCAGACTCCTGCTTTTGCTAGTTGAGTTGAGCAGACTCTTGCTTTTGTTGGCTGCAGTTTGGGGTCTAAGCTGCCCTCGGAGGAATTCGAGGAAGCAGCCGGCGCAGGGTCGCCGCCCGGACCCCACAGGCTGTGCGTTTTGAGCGAGTTTTGCGTGGAGCCGACCGAGGTTTCGACTTGAAGGAGGCGTCTGAGTTTTGTCAGAAGCACTCCGTGGATCCCGCCTAGAGCCCAGATGTGAAGCGCGTTGCGTGAATTCGCTGCTTCCCGGAAGCGGCACGAAGGCAAGTGGAAGGTTGCGCCGCCGGAATGAGACAGGAGCGCCGTCCACTGCAGAGTATGAGTAGCAAAGTCTGGTCCACACAATATGGGCCGACGCTGAAGCTAGATGCGTTGAGGAGGCCGTAGCACCGTCCCAGAGTCTGCCCCAAAGAGGGAGATCGCCGGTGAACCTTTGGCGTTGAGCTCAATGATGTGATCTGCCGTGCCGCTGCCTACTGGTGTGATCATCCTCTTCAGCATTCTGGCCAAGCAAGGTTTCAGCAAAAGTTGAACTCGAGTACGAGCCGGATGAGGACCAGAGGCAAGAACTGAAGCTTGAGTAGGCAGGGGAGTTCCGGGCCATGGGGCGAAACAGATTTTCAGTCAGGAAATACAAAGAACTGATCGTTAACTGGCCGGGAGCCGAATTCCATACTTGTGTCATCTGATTGAAGCTTTGAGCCTCTCGTTTTGTCAGAGCTCCTTCAACTTCTCTTAAGGAACATTCGAGAGACTTTGCCGCTGCCCATCCAGCCGGTGGGCTCGACGTTAAGGCGTGGCGCTGCGTAAGGTCTGTGACCGGTTTGTCAATATGCTACTAGTAGCTGTAGCAGCAGCAGCAGCAGTGCCAATATCGAGTCCATTCATTTCCCACAGCAGTTGTAGTACGTACAAAGTAGGGGGGAGGGAGGGACGGGGAGTGGGGGGGGGGGCGCTGACTGCTCGCGGGCAGGACCATCCCTGAAGGCAGGGACCGGTGTGGATGTGTGTGTGTGTGTGTGTGTGTGTGTGTGCGCACGTGTGCATGCCTTGCTCGCTTTGCTTCGGCACTTGGCTTGTGGAAGTGATGTGGCCTCGCTGCGAGTTGGACTCGACTTGTCGTCCGACATCTCGTGTCGAGTCTGTTGCGTGAGGTACGGACGAGGCGAACGACGAGGAGCCGTTTATGATGCACTCGTACGATCTCTTTGTATTCTGTGGCTCGGATGCAGTCGTTTATGGCTGACGTTGTTGATCCTTGACTCTTGCTTCAGCTCGTGACTCGTTGCCCCGGGCCCCGCAGGCTTTGATTCGCCGGATCTGAATTACGACGACTACTTCAGCATGCCGCTCGACGCTTTGTATGGTGGTCTCTGGCCGTAGGGCAGGAAAGCAGCGGGAACTTTACACCTGATCGCAGGGCAATTCCGCATCCGTGGCGAGTGCAGTTCTGGGCACGAGGTTGCCGGCAAAGCTTGCAGACGTCAAAGGAGTGAGCCGAAACGCCAGGCAAGAACGAATGCATCGCCCTGCGTGGTCTCCATGATCACCCGGTGATCACGGGCTACATTCTAGAGGATCACACGCAGCCTTCCAGGACTGAAGCACCTGTGCTCAGCGACTGATTGGACTGGAGTCCGTCCCTGCTATCGTTGTATGCCCGTTGGTGTCACTCAGGCTCTCGATCAACTGGTCGGCCATTTGGTTCTTCTAATTACTCTCAGCCTTTCCCTCCTCGTTCTTGCCTGTGTTGGTACCTACGTTGCGGTCACTTTAACAATTGTGTCATCACTGTTGATACTGTTGTGTCCTGTTTTGTTGTGGTTACCACCATCAAGATCATCGTTGATTGCTGTCAAGATCGTGGTCGGCGGTATTGTGGGAGTGCCGGTCCTGATGTTGAATGTTCTTCACTATGACTGTAGCAACTTTTTTTTGTGGAAATCGTTGTGGGCTGTGCTGGTGTACGAGTGCCTCTTCACAAGTTTGAATTGGGGCTGCGTTGCCTCAGCTTCCTGCTGTGGGCCTTGCTGCTGTCGACGCATTGCGAGGAGCTGCGAAGAGTGGCTACATAAGCATCGCTACCCCCTTTCAGGCGGCAAGAGCGGCCCATCAATGGCTCTGGACGCGTGGAATGCGCTGTTGGAGCACTGAATCTTCTCGCTGCCGCTGGCGTGCTATTGCCATGCAGGTTTCTGCAGCATGGACGCGCAGTTTGTCGTGACGCATTCCGTCGACACAACTGCCATTTGGCGATTGGATCGACTGTGGCAGGCCAGCCGCGGGAGTGCTTTTTCGTAGCATCTTCCGAGCGAAGGTAGACAGTCTTGTCTGCAGGTTGCAGAAGCTGCTGCTTTGGGCCACAAGAAGGAACCTGTGCCACAGCCTTGCAGAGCCGTGAATGCGATCATGTCTATGTGTCCTCTCTTCCGTGCTGACTGTGGCCTCTACAGCAAACGCTGGCGTTTTGAACTGCGTGCTCCAAAGTGCAGGATCCACGAAAGCCTTTGGATCTCATGGAGACCATGGAGAACAAGTCGCAGCTGTCGGACAGCCGATTGGGAACGGTGCGTATGCATATCTTCTGCTTCCGTCACATGTCTCAAGATGAACCTTCCCCGATATGTACAGACTCCTGCAGGAGTGCAGGGCCGAGCTGTGGCTCAAGAATTCGGAAGGCCACCCCGGCCACCGCATCACTGTTCTGGGCTGTTGCTTCTGCACGCAGTTCCTCACAACTTGTTGCAGGTATGTATCCCGTCAGGAGGGACAAAGCCCAAGCCTTTGTCGCAATCGTGGGTGAGTACCTCCCAGGTCAGGGTTGCGGAATGTGATTCTACTGCATGAAGCACGAAACACGGACCAAAGTGACATAGGCCGCTACTCTTGTATCAACACACGGACGAGTGTCTTTTCTAGCTGCGACACTCAAAAAACGGCCTACTTCTGATCCACCTGCTGTGCCACTCCCGTGTTTGGCATTGGCAGTCAGCTGAGAGGTTTGATCTTGTTCAGTATCCACTTCCTAGGCCTCAGGAGTCAAAGCCTGAGCGTCAGGGTTGCCCGAAACGAAGCCTTTTTATCCTAGTTGTGTACAGAAACGCATAGCGACTTTCCAAACAACTTCCGCTTGTCGTGTCCCTACGATGCATATTACCGTCTAAGGCCCATCTCTCTCTCTCTGTCTCTCTCTCTCTCTCTGTCTCTCTCTCGTTCTCTCTTTCTCACTGTGAGGTGCCAGCAAGCATCTGGGCCACCTCAGGTTCTAAGAAAGACATGCAACCAACATATCCAACTCGACCGCAGCAGTTACATTCCATCAGACTGGCGCGGCTGTGCTCTCGTTGCAGGGAAGCGAAGCGCAACATACCGTCCTGACGATGGCAATGGCGGCGTTGTCCTAAAGATGGACAGCAGCGGGTTGCTGATTCTCACCGTCGCCCGTGGTCCCGAAGTCCGAGGCTCAGTGTTCGGGTAGTGTCCTTAGGAGGGAATGCATTCGGCAAAAAGGCAGATCGTCAACTGGTCATGCGACAAAATGCAAGATTCTGAGCTCAGTGGATATGCCGGGTCGCTGGTCGCAACTTATCCCAAATCGTTTTCGGCGGTTGTCCTTGCGTGTCAGCCTGTCGCCGGCTCCGGGGCGACGCAACTTCCGTTGCTCTTCTCTAGCAAAACACGAGATTCGAGAATGGTAAGTGGGTGACATCTCGAAATCGGTAGTCTCGGCAGTCCCGTTTTCTCCACTGCAGAGCCAGACCTGTAAGCCAGTAAAGCGCGGACGTATCGTGTCTCCACTCCTGCTGCAAACGAAAGTCGGGCAGTGATCCCTACATGTCAATGTCGGCCACTTGTCTTGTGTCTTGTGTGAAGCAAAAGACTTGTGGCCTTGCTTCTCGAAATCATGCTTTGCATTTGAAGTAGCGTTTTGAGACTTCAGAGCTCACAGTGTCGAATCATGAGCTGGCACTGTACCACATGGAAAGCTGCGCATGAAGCTAAGCTCAGATTGACGTGTACGCGATCTTGCCTCATACCTTGGACGTGGTGCCAGTGACGGTGGTCGACACCTTCAGTGCGATTCTTGGCTCTGGCGTGCGCGGCGTAAGTCAGAAGCTTGTGCACTGGTGCAGCAGAGGCCTCGACTCCTCCCTGGAACTGGTGTTCCCGGAGGACCGGGCCTCGAGCATTCCCGATTCCCAGGCTCTTTTTGGCCCTTGCGGCGGTCAGGTCGGCGGCCGCTTCCGCGGACTTCGGGCACGACTGGAGCAGCCGGACAGCGCCACAACGCGGGCGACTCAGGCTGCCAGGCAGGGTTCGCAAGTGTTTTCCCTTCAGCGTCGTTTGCGCCGTCGGCAGCAGAATCTTGCTTGGCTTGTGGCGGTGATGGTGGTGCTGGCAGTGGCGATGATGCTTCATGTCTTTCCTGATATCGTAGATGTGGTTTTCGTGCCTTCCGAGGTCGTACGATGGGGACTATGCGGCGGAGAACAAAGACTCTCCATGCGGCGCCCAAACCTGTGCGCCACATTGCTAACCACCGGCATCAGGGCCTTTAAAACGGTGCAGATGACGTCACGACAAAGCATTCTCCAACCATCCACACATCTTCATGGCACCATCTCGGCTCGATCGCAAAGACGGCAAGCAACCGAAAGTACTTCTCAGCTTCCAGCAGCTTCCGCTCTGTGACTCTATTGCTGTGACGGAACAGGCCTCCAAGCTCCAAAAGTTCTGGCGTACTATGCTCCACACCTCCAGGCCCGCGACATAGATGAGCACTCTTGGAGGTCTTGAGTGTGGTGAGTCCAGCCCCTGACTTCGCTAGATTGAACTCTGCGCAGGTCTGAAGTCACCTGGCAGCACGCCGTGCGGTTCCTGGTGGTCATCAGACAGGGGCTCTCGGTCAGCGACATTTGTTGGCGTTGCGGCTCAGGCCAAGCTCTGTAAAGGGCGGCGCTCCGCCCCAGCCCAGGCCCAGCAGACCTTCGCTTCATTCCACCCGCGCATCCCTGCACTTTGTTCAACTCTGCGTCAGCCCCTGCGAGGCCGAAGTCCAAGGCTGGCGTTGGCCAGCACCAGGTCCGCACCCCGCGAGGCACCGTCTCGTAGGGTCGTCAGCCTTTGAAGAGGAAGCGCAGAGGTCTCCTGGTTCCAGGTGCCAGCCTCCACAGTACGAACATCGGAAGAGGACGGAACCGTCCCTCGCTCTCACATACTCTCATGCGCCATGCGTGCGTGACGCATCCGGATGCCAGGAGGCTTGGCGCGCCAGATCTCGTCGCGAGGTGGACTGGCACTGGCCGTGATCACGTAATGTTGGTATTCCCGCGCAGCTGGGAGGGGGGGTCCACAAACTCGTTGGGAAGCTGGCCGACAGAATCCCAATATGAGCAGCGTTATTTTTGTCCACTTCTTGACGGAAGACCGCAGCTGGACACAAAACTTTCACTCGATCTGAAAATCGCTCTGGGACCCTGGGACTGTGCGCACGGAAGGACGCGGAAGGGCTGCGGAAGGCGTTGCTGCGCGGAAGGGCGCGGAAGCAACAAATGCGTTTAAATACGTAAGCCGCGTGTTAGAAGAATACGTCCGTCGATAAGACATACAATATCCCGAAATTCTTGAGCCCAGTTATCAACCAAGCTGTTGGCGGTTTCATAATGTTGCCCGCGCGTGGCGACAGGGAGATACGTCAATTGCGGGGTTTATGCTCTTGCGGAAGGGAAGGGTTCGCTTGCAAAACGGCACGCGGAAGGGACGACAGTGATTCAAAAATGTGCCAACGCTTCGAGGCGCGGAAGGCTGCGGACGCAGTGGCGGAAGGGTTGTGCGGAAGGGGTTTTTGCGTCCTTAGGATTGAAACAGAATACAAAACACCGCTCATATGTCTGTCCCAGTCAGGAAATGTGTGGAACAGGGGCAGAGCAGCGGCCCAAACGGGTTGGGGTCCCTGCACACAAGAGGTTGGCTGAACTCGGGGCTGGAATGGGAAGCAAGATGGAGGGCAGGTCTGTGGCGACAAACCAGATACTGTGCAATGCGATGGCAGTTTTGGCTTGAGAAAAAGACAGGCGGGGCTCATCAAGCCTCTTCGGGCGTATTCGCGCCAGGCACGGCTACACCTGCATCTCCGAGCCGCGTGCAAGTCTCACGCGTGGGCATTCGGCAAGGCTCCACTATTCTAGCTGTCAGACACTGTGACCTCTTCCTCTTCTGCTTCAGAGTTCACATGGCTGAATCTTGCTGCTGCGCGACGTAGTCTCAGCGATCGTGGTAAAGCTGGTTGCAGGGAATCAAAGCGACGGTCGGCCTACTGTTGGCCTGGCACTGACTTCATTTCTCTCACAGTCAGCCGAGTCCTGGCGGTTGTGAGAAGGCATTCGAATATCGGATAAGCAGCGGCCGCTCGCCAGCCAAGGCAGGTGCTTTCGGGATGCTTTTTGTGCATGTCACTGCAAGTCGCTCCGGAATGGGGCGAAATGGAGTTACGGAGATTTTTGGGACTGGCAGGCGAGCGCTCCCAAACCCGGAATCCAAAAACTTTTCAGTCCAGCGGGCTTCTAACCTTGAGGGTATTGCATGGGCATCCTTTTCCGCGATCAGGACGTCGCAATGACTCCGCGTCCACATTAGGTGCGACACTGTGCATTGGCCAGTGTTTTCTAGAATGCCCCGTGCAGTCTGTTGCCGTCTGTGGAACCGAGGCGTGAGAGTCTCTGAAAGGCATTCGATATCGCCGAGAGGCCCATGCATGTTCGGACTTTTGGACGATTTTTTCCTTCTTGGTGCACTCGCGAGATACGCGTCCAAGCACAAGCACGGCGCCCACGGCAAGTCACAGCCAGAGCCGCAGCCCCGAGCTTGCTATCTCCGTCGTCTAAGCCGAGCTGGAATGCGTCTTAGTTCGTGCTGCAGGCAGAATCCGCCAAACCGCAGGCGAAGCATTTCTTGCTGCCCGGGACCGTCTTTGACATTCATCTGCATTGCCTGCAGTTCGCAGCGATGCCAATCGCCTGGTCACAAACCTCTCGGGCGGCAGTCCCACCAGCCAGACAAGCCGGTCACCCAGACGTCAGAGCTCAGAGATGAAACACGGAGGCATGTTATTCGCCCAGCCTGGAGGCCATGCTAGCGGCGCATCGAAAACGGTGCGTCGAGATGTCAAGCCATTGCTGAAGGCCGGTTGTAATGCCACATTGTCAGAAGCGCGGGAGAAAGCACACATGTCTCGAAGGCGGCAACATCGGAAGGAGTCCGGCTGCGCAGCCGATCCGCCTCCACTGACAAGGTTGACCGCCGCCAGGCCAGCTGGAACGTGCAACTTAAACTTGTGGTGCTCCGTCTGAGTCGTGGACCAGCGTGGACCTGCCGATGGGAGGTTCGAAATCCAGACGAAATGCCGAACATCTGCAAGCGACCATGCAATCGAAAAGAACAAAATCGAACTCCCGGCTTCACACGACGTAGAATTCCTTGCAGAAAGATGCAACCCCGGACAGACTCTTGTACTAGCAGCGTGACGGAACATCCACTTCTGGACTGCATTGGATGCATTGTTGCTTTCTGTTTTAGTGGCTTGGGTTGGTTGCTGCAGTGTGTTCCGCTTACGGAGGAATCCAACGGGGTCCTCGTTTAAAGAAGCACTGCAAACGGCTTTGTCCCGTAAATGGTTGTGTCAAGCTTGAACTGTCAGTCTAAGTGTATGCTTGGACTGCTTGGGTCCGCTTCTGTGGCAACAGTTTTGAACAGACGTGTCAGGCGTCGCCGAAGCTGGTAGAAACACCTCCGCGGCCAGAGTCCGTTGAGCCCGTCGCGACCTCAATAAGGTCATATGAAGGTCCTGTCTGCGTCACTCTCTGATAAAATGGTTTGCATGCGAGCGGAATGAGTACTAGTAGCTGTGCGAAGCCGCCAGCTCGCAAGGTTCACAAGGCAGGTGCGCCGAGCACACCTGCGCAGGCAGGGCAGGGTGGAAGAGTGGCTGCAGCGACCCGACAAAGAGCATCGTGGCCAGACCAGCTACGTGGCTTCCCCGCAGACATCCTGCCTACGGCTTATTGGAGGGCTGGTGCCATTTCAAGCAGTTTGAAGCAGCTCAGACTGTGCCGACAACAGCCATGGTGGTTCTCAAAAGCACAGGTGCGCCAGTTGCGGCCCGCATCCCGGCCCAGAGGCGGCGACATGTGGGTCTCACTACATGCACCGGATTCGTGAGCTCGCGCCAGATTCGCTGTTGCCGCACCGAGCGGCCGAGGCTCTTCAGGCAAGACACATGACAAAGAAGACCTAACACCTCACGGTCACAAGCCGAGACCCGTCTTCGCAGGGGCAGTTCCGGTGAATCAGCCACGACTTCAAGGCCAGCTGCGTTCCACTTGGGCGCAAAAGGAGAGTTCCCTTTGTATGCAACCACTACGCAGCATCCTTGCAGGTCTCTCCTCGTGGCCAAGTGTATGGGTGCCACAGGTGATTCCAGCAGTGCCGGCAGTACCAGTTCAGGCGCCATCCGTCGGATCTTGCCCTGATTCTGTGCTTTTAGAGTGCAGCTTCGTCGGAGCCGTATTGCACAATCTCGATGCCACACGCTGTCCGGAGGAGGTGATAAATTGCATTCATTGCGTAGACAGGGGTGTGCATAGCCGGTGCCTCTGACAGGTTCCAGTTTCAATGGTGAGCCGCAGTTCTCTGGGACACCACTTCGCGCACTGCTGGCTGGATTGCCGCAGCTTTTCTGCGCAGTTGCTGGTCGGACTCTTGTGGATGGAGGTACTCGAGGTCGAGCTTTGCCACAGTTGCAACGGCTGCCTATCCCAGCGCCGGGGTCCTGGAGGTGTTGCTGCCTTTTCAGGTCGCTAGAGCAGCAGGTTCAGGCAACACGAAGATGTCCATGGAATTCCCTCCCCAGTCAAATATTGATATGACGATGATGCCTTTGGGCTAGGCATTGCAAGTCATCTGTAGCTCAGCACTCCGCAGAATCGCAATGATTCGCATTTTACGGTTGTGGTGTTCAAACCAGTGACACGAGTCGTAAAGACATGAGGCCACAACGCACAGTCACGCACGAATGGCCAGCTTCCAAGAAGGGTTTCAAGATGTTGTTTCTATGACCAATGGAGCACAATGGAGCCATCCCGTCAAAGGCAAAATTGTCCCATATCTCGGCATCAGCGGGATTTTGCTTCAGGCCTCTTTGAATCGCTGGCCGCGCTGATGCGAGGATGCGAGGCGCACAAAAGGTGGGCCACCAATGCAACCCGCTGCCGTGTACCATAGGGCCAACTAAGGCCCGCATTGTTGCTGTTCGCGGTGCAAAGGCTTCAAATCTCGAAAACTGTGATTGCATCTTCAAGCTCAGACTTTTGGATCATGTACCAGTCTGGATACTGCTGGTCAGGTATGATTTATGTGAACTGTTGTGGATGTCAATCTGTGCTCAGCTTTTTCAGCGGATTGCTGTGAGCATCAGCCTGCAACTTCAACAAGTCACAAGCATCAACCTCGGATACCCGGCTCCAGAGTTTGAGGCTGCAGGGTGTAGCATCATAGCAGTCATGGCGACGCAGGATGACATGCACGACGAGGAGATGATTTTGTTCATTGTCAAAGCTCTCGCGAGTGCATCACATGACACAGACGGCTTAGAGAGGACCAAAGCAGTTCTCCGTGCTCCCCATGTTCGCCTTCGTTATCGCCAGGCTCCATAACGACTGCTGCATGATGCGTGGGAGACCTCATGTTGCAGAGCGAAGTAGCATAGCTTCACAGTACTACTGATGCCTCAGGGGCGAGTTATTTCGACCCCCTGGAGGAGGCATGGGTGATACTGTACGATTTTCTGAGCGAGAGACTGCCAATTGTGTGTTTTTGCCAGTCGGTCTTGTTGTTCCGATACCCCATCATTGCACCCAGATTGTTCGTCACGGTGGATAGTTAGTTGATCCGGACGACATTTTGGGAAGATGCTGCGGTGTGTTGCCATCTGCAGAGTGGTCATTTGCCCTATGTCAGCGGAGCTGTGCTGCGTGTTGCTTGTGCAGCGCTGCCTCGGTCTGGAATCTCGCACGTGTTCTTATATTTGGGGAAACCGCATGCTTTTGCGAGCAGGTGAGGGCCAAACTACAAAGAAACTACAAAGTGATGCTCCCGATACGGCAGGCTTGACGAAATGACCCCTGTTGGTTTGCGAGGGGTCTCCTCCGCCTTGCGGTGCCGGGACCTCCGACACCCTCCCGGCTTTCGTCCGACGTGGTCTTGGAGAATTTTCCTAACAGCCAGCTTTTGTTCTAGAGCGTCACCGCTTGAACTCATGAGTGACCGTTTTGACATGTCATGTTTATGGTGCAGACTTGCTGGATCTCATTTGGGGGCGACGGCCGCCAACTCTTCTGCCCAAACCCCCATTCCGGGCCCGAAAAGATGGATCTGGGCCAGAAAGTGACCACAAGCGCGACTCAGTTTCAGTACTTCTGCTACCCTGCTGCGACGGACCTGCATTTGGACCATGCCTGTCTCTTTTTTACAATACTTGACCTGCTCTTTATGACCGAGGGAACAGAACGCGCAACCCGTGGAACCCTGGGCTCCCCGGAATCGGTAACATTCGGCAGCCTGGCCAACAGTAACCGTGGCTCTCTCGCTGTCTCACACACTCATTTGGTCGGATGTTGTCTCCATGTGCTGCAGCTTTGAAGGACCCTTTAAAGATGCTGAGGGTTTTCGGGGGCTTGTCAGTGATGGACTGGGGCGGACCGGCCGTTGGATGCCCACACCCACTGCAGCCCAGCTCCAGGGAAGCCTACGAGTTGCTGCTAGACGCAAGGACAGAGCATAGCTGAAAACCACTCGAAGACGGCATAGCACTACTGAGGAGTCGGCCACGTGGCGCCCAACGGACAGACGTGAGACGTGCCACAGAATCTGCATGCTTGAGCAGCTTACATTGCAGTCCCACTTGCGCGTGTGACGATGCAGCTCCCAAACTAAACGATCGGCCGGGTGGCGGGTGGGAACACCAAACAGAACTTGATGCGAGCAAGGATTGGTTGGTAGCCGCCCATTTCCGACGGTGTCGTCAATAGTTCATTCTTCTGCATTTGCGTTAGCGTCGTTTTTGGTATGTTTCCAGATGTGGAATGGGCAGCTCGTATCATGAACCCAGACACGCAGAGGAGGGACTGCAGAACTCGCGAAAGCAGCTTCAAAGCCACAGCGCGTGCACTACGCCCGACCTTGCGTTGCTGACAAGAGCGACTGGCCTATCGCTTTGCATGTCCAAAGCTGATGATTCAAGTATTTGCAGAGTGTCACTTTCCTGCCACACTGCCTGGCTTCAGGAGATCCCCGTGTCCATCAGCTAATTATTATGCGATGGATCTCGTGCCGGGGAGGGTGATCTTCCACACGGCGGTGGTTATCGGTTGGAGCGCGTAGAGATGTGGGTGTAACGTAGCGGCAGAGGTGATCGAGAATTCGCATTCGGCGAGACCGGCGTGCGAGTCGCGCCGCCGCATCTCGATCCTGCGCCTTGGCGCTCGCGTTTCTGGGGTGGTTTATGTTGATTCTCAACCGCTGGAAAATCCTATGCCTGAAACCCGTCAACTTTCCATGAGCCCGAACCCTTGCAGCCTTGAAGCCCAAACTCTACTCATGCTGCAAGGCTTTCGAGGGCGGCTTCTCCCACAGTGCTCCCGTCGGCACTGTGACTGGTGCCTCCGCCAACGCTGCCATCTCAGCGGCCATCTCGCGGTGGAGGCCTTGAATCGCAGACCGGACTTTTTGGCAATTGGTCGGTAACTACCTTCGAACGGAGATCCGAAACTGAGTTTGAACTTCCAAGCGTCCAAGACTTTGGTCCGCATCCGCAGGCTGATGAAGGCAACGACCATAGGAAATGTAGGGAGTCTTTATGCCTCGACCCTCTTGGTGTGACAGTGTGAAAGATCCTGGTCATTCGCAACTTTTTTTCGGTTGCTGCCGCGACTGTTCTGACAGGAACATTTGGTACTTCTTCGTCTACCCCAACTGCCAGGACTTCGCTGTCTGGCTGATTCGGGCGCTGCCTGACAGCAAAAGTCATGAAATCTGGTTGTGTGCCTCCCAGATGGACCATTAGACCTACACGTGCAGTTCAAGCTGGAAATCCTCGTTGGGTAGAGTAAAGAATTGACAAGGTGACGGCATGTTATCAAGAAGACAGTCGTCTCAGGTTGCAGAAGGAAATCCCCGTGTGTGTACTTACTCTCTCTTTTCTGCCTCTGTGTTTTCTTTGGCTCAGGCTTCGACCAACGCATCTGGTTTCGAGGGAGACAAATGACGTTGGTCCGCGTTTGGGCCCCAGCAAAACTGCCCTTGTGCTCAGGTGGTGGTGATGCTGAAGTTTGAATCGCTGGCCGGTGGCGCGCTGATGCGAGGATGCCATGCACATGAAAAGGTGGGCGTCCAATGCATTGCGGTGTGCCTAGGGCCTCCGATGGCCAACCAAGGCTTGCCCAAGGTTTTTCGGCATGCAAAGGCACGAGATCCTCAGGTTATGTGGCTTTCGAGCTCTCAAGCAGCTTCCAAGAAGGAGGGTTTTCGGATTTCAGGATTCTGCTTCGCGGCCCATCATATAATGTACGGGTGCTTGACCTGCTGGCTGCAGCCTTGCGATCAAATGCAATTACTAGGGCACGCTGGGGCAATGATGTGAAGTTTGCACGGGTTTTGGGAGTACTTGCGGTAGTGCCCAGTCATGGTGCATATCCCTGATGTGGATTGTCCCTCCTTTGCTGTATATGAGGCTTCTCCGCGTTCGCATCTGACGTGTTTACTGTGACTTGGATGGAGCTCTTCGTGACGGCTACTGCTGGTGATCCTTGATTCTTGCTTCAGCTTGTGACTCGTGCTTTACCGGTAATCCCGGGTCACAATCTGCTCGCTGATGCGGTAAGCATCAAGCAGTGAATCTCGGCTTCGAGCATTCCTGGCGACTCTTTGGGCTTTGATGGCAGTTATTTGATGGCCCATGTCCGGAATGCGGTGTCCGTAACCGCAAGACCCGGAGTTTGAGGACTTGCTTGGCGATTGAAAGCAGCTAGGCTTTGCTTCAGCAATTCCTGGCCTCGCTGCTAGTTGGACTTGGCTCGTCGTCCGACGTCTCGTGTTGAGACTTTTTGCGTGCGGCTCGCACGAGGCCAACGAGTTGAATTGGATAGCGGTATTTCAACATCCACTGTTCGGGGCTCCTTTCAAGCAACGAGGAGCTAGTGAGGAGTTGCAAACAGTGGAATTCAAGGCGGGAAGAGCGCTGGCTGCACCCAGCTCAGCTGCAAAAACAGAGGGCGTCCGGCATGGTTGCTTCTGGACATGTGGAATGCCCTGGAGCACCGAATCTTGTCAGCAGGGTGCTGCCGCGGGGGTGCTGTTGCGATGCAGGCAGTTTGTCGTGACCCCCTCAGTCGACACGACTGCGATACGGCGATTGGATATCCAACCGCCATATGGCAGTCGTGTCGACG